AGCACCAGGGCCCTGGGTGTGGTCTCCATCTAGTGGCGAGGAAAGCTGTGTTCTGTTCCATTACCAAATGCAACAAAAATAAAAATCTACAGGAATAAAGAGAGATTACCAAGAAAGGATTCCTTGCATACTTAGTGCTGTCCTGGAAGCAAAGAACAGGCTGTTGATGAGTTAAACCTTTCAATGTTGGGTGGCATTTCTCATTGCATTAATGGCACTGCCAGGAACAGTGAGCACTCACATAACAGCAGCCAGAGTGCACAGAACTGCACTGAATAACAATTCTGATGCTTTGTCTGATGCTTTCCTTGCTGTCCTACAGCAATTAAACTTGATTCCTATGACATTGCCTCCTTGCTGTTGCGATCTGGTGCCAGAGTGAATTTGCGCTGTGTCCATGAGAGAACTGCTCTGCACGAGGCAGCCAGACTGGGCAGGAAGGATCTGGTTCAGCTGCTCCTGGAGTCTGGGGCAGATCCTGACCCCCGCAGTGGATATGGGCTCACACCTCTAGCACTGGCTGCACAGATGGGACATACAGAAATTATGGAGCTCTTACTGCAAAAAGGTGAGGCTTTATTATATAGGACCTTATAGGAAGAAAACGCTTCAGATATGCCTTCATAAACAGCAGCAGAAGTAGCTCACCTTACTAGAGAAAATTAAATGTCATCTGCACTGAGGGTTGTTGTGATGTAGTGAAAGCCTCCTAAATACCAATTTGTATAATATTAAAATAATATATTAATATTTTAGTGAGTACTTATAATTGTTTTTAAGTGTTCTATTATTTTCTCACATAGATAAATCACCCTAGGACATACTTGACAAGATATTTATTGTGGAGAATTTTACATGAAGGCTCAGCAGCATTGGAACTGGATTGCATGAACTCTTGGATACTGGGTGCTCTTATGTTTAGTTACACCTGTCTGTTCTTTGTAAAGTAAAATAATTGAAATGCATTATTTGTAAACCAAAAGCAATTATTTTGATGAATAAGAACCAAACATTTTGCTGGTGCAATTCTAGGAACAATTCTTACTGTGTTCAAAGCAATTTGGACCTTCTTATTCTAAGGATTACATGAACACATCTAAAATCAAGGATCTGATATGAAGATTTATGCCCACAGTGGTTTGTTTAGTGGAGAATAGAATTCAAAATACCATATCACTGGGGGTTGGAGATATTAATTGCAGATGAATATTAACGTTGACTACTGTGAAAATCCTTGCTGCTTCTCCCCAGGTGCAGATGTTCTTTCACAGGCAATGGACTGTGCTTCTATATTGTTTGAAGCAGCAGGAGGAGGAAATCCAGACTCTGTGAGTCTTTTACTAGAATATGGGGCTGATGCCAATGTACCAAAGCACTCGGGTCATTTGCCAATCCACAGAGCTGCATATAGAGGACACTTTCTGTGAGTTAATATACTTAAAAATCAAATAATAGTGACACCAGAAATATTAATTTTACTAATTTTACCTTATTCAAAGCAGACAGAAAATCTGTAGCTTTGTATGAGGCTTTTTTTTTGACTGTGTAAATATGTCTGTTCTGTGTCTGAATGTAGGAGACCAGTTAGGATAAAATCTTCATGATTTTGGGATGCACATCTTAATCCCTCTGGCATTTCCCCATTTGTCACAAGTAGTAAAACTGTCCAGTCTGATGCTGAGGTTCTTGGAACATTGTCACTCTCTTTGGGTCAATGTCTCTTCTCCACCCATCAGAGAAATGTGAATGGTGAATATACTAAATAGACCAATAGAGAGTAAGGGTTATCCCTATTTTAAAGAAAGTAAGACTACTGCAAGGCATTTATGCTGAAATCATAACTAACAAATGAGAAACAGGCACCTGAGTATTCTTCATTTCTGTATTAATATTTTCTGTATATTATTATATATTATTATATTGTTATATTTAAACTTAGATGTATATATTACATTATAAATTGTATGTATTCATGTTATAATGCATATTCTATTAATTCCCTAATCCCTATAGGTTAAGCAATAACACTGTGTTTTCAACATTCACGAAAAATTTATATTGAAAAGGAATCTTTCATTCCTATAGCAAGGAAGGGGTTGTTCATGGATAATAGTATAATAAAATAGTATTTTGTGTGTAGTACATGTAAAGTCAGTATCCATTGCTGGCTAACAATTCTATTGTTAGCAATTCAAGTCAATGCATGCCATGGTACTGATTTGGTATATTAAGACTATTCTAACAGTCATGATGCATTCTGAAGCCCAACAACACAGAGAAATTCGAAGATGAGTTAGGTGAAACAAAATGTTTAAGATTCTGAGATGCTTCTGGTTTTAATTTTTCAGAGCTCTAAAATATTTAGTTCCAGTGACTGATTTTTCTGCCATTAAAGAAAGTGGGATAAGCCCCGTTCACTCAGCAGCAGCAGGAGCACATCCCCAGTGCCTTGAGTTTCTCCTGCAGTCGGGTTTTGACGCCAATTTTATGCTGGCTCAGAGAGTTCGCAAAGGCTACGACGACCACCGCAAATCAGCGCTGTATTTCGCAGTTTCCAACGGGGATATCTGCTCAACGCAGCTGCTGCTCAACGCCGGAGCCCTGACAAACCAAGACCCCATCAACTGCCTCCAAATAGCCTTGAGAATGGGCAACTACGAGTTAATGAACCTGCTGCTCCGCCACGGGGCCAACGTCAACTACTTCTGCCGCGTGAACACCACGCACTTCCCCTCAGCCCTGCAGTACGCCCTCAAGGATGAGGTGATGCTGAGGATGCTGCTGAACTACGGCTACGACGTGCACCGCTGCTTCGACTGCCCGCGGGGCAGCGGCCAGCACTCCCAGTACGTGACGGACGGCTGGACCTCCACCGTCATCAAAGACACCATGGTGAGTGGCACACGGCTGCCAGAGCTGTCCTACCGCCTGTGGCCTTCCCAAAACTAAACGGAAAGGGGCTCAATGCACCGTCAGAAAAAGAAGTTTTGAAGACAGTTTACACATAGAGAGGAATAGTTTAATATTAACAAGATGTTGTTATTCATGACCGTAAATGTTGTAAACAGTAATTTTGAATTATGAAAACATAGCTGATGATATGCTAATGATCAGTAAGGAACTGGCTCTCCAGGGCAGTGCTGTCCATGCTGTGAAAGCAGAGATTTGCAGGCTGGCTCTCTGCATTGTCCTGGACCAGAACACCAAGACTGGAAGTGTGTTGAAAGGACCCCTGGAGCTGGTGGGATGAGCACTGAGCAGAAATTAGCAAACCTAAAGAGCTTCCTGGAGACACTCATCAGTGTCATTGTTTCACAGTTTGTAAAGTCCATTTGAACCTAATAAACCCTTCTTTAACCGAAAGATAAGGGGATAATGCATGCACTGGGCTGGTGGATCCTCCTATTAAGCACCTGGGACACAAGTCTAAATTCCACTTAAGAGCAGTACCACTTCTTTTTAAGCATCAAGTCCCCAAATATACTGCTGCTTAAGTTTATTTTTGGATCCAGTACAAAATAACTGTCTCTCAGATTTTTAGATCCTACTAGTAAAGCTTAGGCAACCTGTGGCAACCTCTAAAACTCTGCTCAAGTAACTGTTCTTGTCCTCAGAGACAGAAGTAATTTACTGCAGTATCAATTATTACCCTATTAAATGTTTCATTCCTATCAGTTCTGTGAAGTGATAACCTTGTCCTGGCTGAAGCACGTGTCTGGGAAAGTGGTGCGAGTCATGTTAGATTACGTTGATCATGTTAAGATTTGCTGGAAGCTCGAAGCAGTTCTCAAAGAACAGGAACTCTGGCCAGACATCCATTTCATTTTAAGTAAGTATCTGTTTATGTTTTTAATGAAAACAAGCTGGTTTGGCACTGGGGCCTTTTTGCTTGGTAGCATTTAAATTTTGCTTCTCCTTTCTAGCAAATCCCCGCTCTCTGAAGCACCTTTGCCGTCTGAAGATCCGGGCGTGCATGGGCCGGCTGCGCCTCCGCTGTCCTGTCTTCATGTCCTTCCTTCCACTGCCAAACTGCTTGAAAGATTACATCCTGTACAAGGAATATGATCTTTATGGACAGGAAAACTACACAGGGATCTACAACCTCAACTGTGCATAAGTATTTGTCCTGTACTCTGAAGGGAATTTAATGTGGATAAGACTGTTGTGCTTTTTTCTTTGGGGATTTTCTCTCCTCTGTATATTAAGGAATGCCAGCGGTCTCCCCTCACCCCCTGAAGAAAATAGTGAGACCCCCCAAAATGTAAGTACTGGTGATCCCATTCTAAAGATCTCCTGGACTATGACCTATCTGCAAGTTACGGCAACAGTATTTTAATGCCTGGTGTGACAAGGAAGTGTACAATACAGGGCTGCAAGCCTTGTGTTGTGGCCAAGTTAAGGCTTGTCGTACCAGATACCACTACCCTCATTCCAGGATTAAACTCAGGGTTTAGTTAAAGGTCAGGGATTTGACTCCAGGAAGGGACACAGTTTTTTCTCTCTTGTACTGCTTCCTTTCTCTTGACAATAAATAGTTTTTATTTGTGAAGTCCTACAGTGAAGTTCTGAAGAGCAACTTCAGTAATTCTTTTCTTCACCCAATAAAGCAAACTCCCATTCTAGTCAATCAAATGGGATTAAGCTTGAGAAACCTCTGCTTATCACTGCAGGTCTTGTGACATACCAATGTTTCATCAAGGTGGCACTGCTAAAAGCTGTGTTAGTTCTGCAGCTCCTTCTCAGGTACTGGTATGTCACATCCACCATGAACCTGGACTATTTTCTCTAGAACTGGGTTCTCCTTACACAGTGCTGTCCGAAGTCATGCTTGCAATTTTTGGTTTCTCTCTATAGAGTTGGAGCTTAAACTTTTGGAGTACTGTCATTTTAGGAAGTCTTACAGGAGTCTTAGAAAGACCTAGAGCATGCCTGTTCCTTCTAAAAATACTGCAAATATCAGTTCCTATTTTAGAAAAAAAAATATAAGTTCATCCACACATTTGGCATTAGTAGTATTTATTCCTTCATAATCAAGTAAGCATAGATTTTTTTTTCTAGTTATACATGCATCTTTATCACAGAAGTTACAGAATTCAAAAGTCTGCTTTTCCCCAGAAAAATCTACAAACCTTATAAAATACAAATTTAACCATAATGTGGTTATGGCCCATGGTATTTTACATGGTGTTTATCCCATAATAAACTAACTCAGCCTGTGAAGATATGTCCAATGCCCATGGTAATGGTTGTGCTGGTAGAGCCTCTGCACTTGGCTTGTTCCACAGAGCCCTCAGAGCCCTGTCACTGCCCCACCACAGGCCCTGCCCAGCCAGCTGCCACAGCTCCTGCTCACCTTCAGTCTCTGATTGTTGCAAAAATAAGTTAAGACCATTCCCAAGTGTAACAACTTCCTCTGAGGTTATCTGGCTATTACTATAAAAATTAAGAGAACTGAGCTACACTTGACAATGGAGGGCTATACCTGCATGTCAGAACTAATTTCAATGGAAGGGAACACATCCTGTCACCAGTAATGGTACCAGTAATGGAAAGTCAGTATGATGAAGAATGCAGGAGGCTTTTGCATCAGTACAAGTCTCACCCAGAAAGTTACTATAGTTAAGCTTTTATTTAAAATATAAAATGCTGCCTGGAGCAGAAGGTTACTATCCATGTTTCCAAGATTAAGACACAACAATTAGAGTTGACATAAATATGCCATTGGTTGTTCTTAATACAGCTATTCAGGGAAAATGTGCAAGTCAGTCTCAAACACTGCAAAAATCACTTACACTTCACCAGAACAGGACCAATCCAGAACACCATCATAAGAATTTGACCACTCCACTCTATTATAAAAATGACCAGAAAGGTTGTACAAAATTCTCAGCTTGCAATATAAACTTCATTAGGAATACAAGTGCATTCACAATGATACACTGACTTATTCTTGTCATGACAACTGAGATACCACTGTGGCAGAGAAAAAAATGCCAACTTAGTGCTTAATTAAAACAAGAAGCCTTGGGGACTAATTACCTTGCAAGAATTTTTGTAATATAGAGCAAGAGGAAGAATATAAAGTATCAGCTTTTGCTGTTACATTAGACAATATCTAAATTCAATAAGCAGTGGCAGTTTTCTTTCTCTAGGTGAACTATTTCCTAAATAATAAGAGACTATATTTTAGCATAGCTTTCACCATTAGCTTGTCCCAAATGCTGTGCAACTAATTAATCAGTATTTACCTTAAGCATTGACAGAATTTACCATAAACAGTCAAATTTATTTCTTTATATCCATGTATGTCAATTACAGCTTCATAAATGGCATCAGCTGTTTCACAATTTTCAGCTCTAGGTTTACATCCACATAAAGAGGAAATCTGACAGCCCTTTAGAAGGGAAATGTTTCTTAACTCTGGAATATTACTGTTAGACAGTAAATTGTCCTGATACAATTTCAAACTCAAACAGATTAAGGAAGTGAGACTGTGACATGCAACTGACTTTTCACAACCTGATCATATCCAGTTAGATATGTTTAGTAGTACATGACTTTGACCTTGTCCTCTGCTTTGGACTTGGCCAAATCTAGCAGTGACCACAGAGGAGTGCCAGCTATCATCTGTAATGCAATAAAATGTATACCCATAAGCACACCTGATATATTTGTATATTCATGCCATTACATACACAAAGAATGTATGTAGCTTGAAGCAGCTGACAGCAAGGCTGGCTTGGTCTGCAGTGTGTAGATCTACACAGTGTAACAAGCTTCATATCCTCTTATCTAAGGGATAAAAGTTTGGCAGTAATTATGAGGATGCAGTTAGCAACACAACAAGTTAGTCCTGACCAACACTGCCAATTCAGTACCTACATGAAGTCACTTCAAAATCATGGACTTGAAAGAATATTTTCAGGAGTGACTGAAGTAAAGTAGATGCACATGAAGCAAACTACAGCTTCAGCCAAAGGTGTTTGAAAGATCAGTTTGTGAACAAAAGGCAGTACAAAATAATAAACAGGAGCGTTTATTTAATCTCCTGTAAACTAGGAAAGGAAACCATTTAGTAGTTTAGTTACAATAATAAAATATTCTGGTGGTGAAATTCTACCACAGCAGTTCCCAGCAGACCATGAGGTGTTCCTACTATAAGTTACATACTCTCATGGAAAATACCAAGCATCATTCTGATTTTTTTTTTCAACAAAACTGTTTTCTAATTAAGTAGTTCTAAACCTGATAGGAAAAAAGGTCATGTATGAAACCTCAGCAGGTGTTTTTGCCTTGAGCTAGTTCTAATTACAACCTGTGTGATCCTCCCTAGGCAAAGCTCAGTCATTCTCACCCTGCTAACTCAGTCACCATTCCTGACTTCCCCCAGCCCTGCTGACATGCCCTTTGCTCTTGCAGCTTTCATCATTACCCCAGATGCTTTTATACTTTCTTGCTCATTTTACACTGGTGAAATTCCCCTAAATAACCAAACAACCCCTACATTTCACTCATGCACATCAATCTTTTAGTGTTTAAGATGAAAATCATCCAACGTAAGTGAAATGTATTTCATTCCTAATCTGTCTGTTTTAGAAAGCTACATTTAATGGCATATATGGAAAGCTTGAAAAGCAAATGGAGTAATTCCAGTATTTACTGATAAATCCAAAAAATCCTACTTGACAGTAAATTCACCTGCCAACTTTATTAGCTTTCTTCCTCATCTTTGCAGATTTATAGCTATATGAGTAATGATAGGTTTTGCAAAAAATACAGTAATCCCATTTTCTGACATTTCTTCAATAAGGCTAATGCAAAACAGGCTGCACATCAGAAATGCTCTTTCTGAGTGCTTGTCTATTCTTTGTCCTCCCTCTGGAGCCTGGGCTACTGCAGCTCCAGTGCTTAACACAATTAGTCCTTCTCTGACAAGCTGAGGACTGGGTTCTCGACACTAGAGATCACTGATTTCATAGGCTCCCTGTGCTGTTTCCAAACTGCTTCATCCTTAGTACATACTTGAGAAAAATACAATTAAGACACAGTAACCTTGAGCTACCCTGTGATATGATTTATAGAAAATATCAGTAAACAAACAAACACAAACAAACATGAATTGGAATAATGTGCAGAGACAAACTGCCTTGCCACTCTCTGTAAGCCTTGATTTAAGCACAAAAAGGGAAAAAAATGAATTTGGCGCATCTCTGTAATTTTTGTTGGCAAGAATAAAAATAGTCTCTTAAAAATGGGAGCTGAAAATGGAAGCCTAGATATGAAATAAAAATGCCACTGTCTTTTACAAGAAGCCTCAGGTTGGTGTGGTCCATGTGGCATTGTGCCAGCTAAATCCAGCCACAGGGCAATACTATGTGACCAACTGGGCAACAGCAAAAGCAGATATTTCTACAAGTGACTGGCTACTCTGGGGATGAAAATCACACTGGAAGAGGATCTGGTAACCAATTCAGGAAGAGAACCTGGTGGCTCTCTGCTCCCCAGCCTCCTCCCCTCCGTTTTCAAGGCAGAGCTCTTTGGTGGCTGCTCAAGCCCCTGTGGTGTAAAACCTCTGCTGTGGTGTAAAACCTGTGCCCAGAGCTTCTGCAGCTCCAGCTGCCTCTGCTCCTGCCCAGGCACTGCTGCCCTGTCACAGGAGCTGAGGCCACCAACTCTTGCACACAAAGTCACATCTCCAGCAGCATGGGCAGGAGGCTTTGGCCAATGCAGGCACTCCCAGGAGTTAGAAGAGCCCTCTGTGCACCTACAGCCATCCAGAAAACACAACCTGAGATTCCTCACTTACTTTATCAGCACTGAACAGCTCCAGCTAGGAAGGGCTGGGCCACCACCAGCTGCTGAGGAGATACTCTGAAAATTGCTTCCATTCCTGAACACCAGAAATGCCCTGCAATGAACTGTAAATCACTCATAACTGTTATATTATAACTTGGAATATAAGTATATTCTCTTCTCTCTACATATCCTGTTATTTTCATGCCACTATTAGAGAGCTATCTTCTGTTCCTCTGGATTTTAATATTTATAGTAATTAGTGCAAAAATAAATATTTCTCTTCAAACAAGATTTCTCTTCTGGTTCAAAAGGTGAATGCACATCTAATACTATACAAAATAAATATTACACAGGGTATGGAATATGGAGTGCAGATTACAAGCTGTAAACAGACACCACTTTGAAAAATGCTTTCCAGAACTGACTCTATGATGTAGGATTGGTATCATCTCTTACTTCAGAACTACTAAATTCTGTTTGCAAAATCATAAAAACAATGAAGAGCCTCAACTCATTTCCAGTAGACGCAGTGTACTAGCAGCAAGGCATTTACATATGCAGAAGATTTTGATATGACGGAATTCAAGATGTTCCTGCAACTCTAAGCATGTTTTATAAAATTGAACTCAAAGGTTTACAGCTTTTTATTCCAAGTACTGGGGAAAAACCAAGAACATGGCACTTGTGCTACAAGGCTATATACACGACTCTTATCATTTGATGAGGAATGCTCTTCCTCATGCAACAAAGTTCAACTGCATCTCATCAGCTCTTATCTAGGTCTGACAGTATCTTTTTCTCCTGTTGAAACAAGTTTTTTTTGGCATTGTATTCACCAAAAAAAATTAGAAAGGAAATCAAGACAGTATCATACTGCGCAAAATGAAAGAAAAAAAGATCCTTCTGTTCGAACTATTGCACATCTCTCTGATGTTAAAGGAGATCCTTCTTTCTAAATCTAAGAACAGCTATGTACAACAAACTGGGTAAAGCTTAGCACTGTCTTATTTGGACATCTCACTTTTGTTTCCAGCAAGGTGTTTTCCCTACTGCAGTGTAAAGAACAAATTTCAATGTTTGGGTTTTTTTGGTTTTTGGGTTTTCAGTTTTGCTTCCAAAGCAGTCAATTGCACAGAGGTAAGTGGGGAAAACGCCCACATTTTTCCCATACTGCAGAGAAGCCTTGAGAAAACATATGTTTGTAATAACTGGCAGCATCACTGTGCTCCGTCTGGCATACAAGAGAAATTATACTGGCAGGAAACAGAAATCACTTAATTGAGAAAGAAAAATCAAGGCATAATAGGGTCTATATATTGTGAAGTCTTTTCTATAATATGACAGACCCTCCACCTACATTTCACCTCTTGTAGAACTTGTGCCATTTCACCAGATATATTAATGATTCCAATTTTAATGAAGCAGGCAACCTTAGGCTTCAGATTCTCTCTTCTTTCCATCTTCTCCTAAATCACTGTCTTCTGACTGGCTGCTGCTAAGGACTACAAACTGTCCTTCTGTGCTGCTCTGGTTGGATCTGCTGGAAGCTGCTATCAACCGGCTCTGCTCCTCCAAGTCCTAAGTTCAGAAGGGGGGTTGGGAAATCAGAAAAAGAGTATTACCCTTAAAGCCATCTGCAATGGACACAGGATACCATTATTACGATTTCTAAATGATCTATCAATACTATCAGTGGACAGCTTTGGACAAAACTGCAAAAGAAAGTAAGTAGAAAAAACCTGATATTAAGAAATAATGACGAAAGGTACCTTCTCAATTTGCTTTTGTTTATTCAGTTCTTTTTGCTGTTTCTCTTTGACTCTATCTATTTCCTTCTGCTTTTCTGAGGCTTTTCGATCCTAAAGAGCAAAAATGCAAATAAAGTCAGTAACAACAGCCTGAGATGTTTTGAGACACTACTGACTGACATGAGCTTGCTCAAGACTGTGATTTCACTGTTTGGAATATTCTGCTTTTAAAGGACTGGTATGGTTGTTAAAAGTAGCAAAATGAACCCTATATTCAATATTGTTCTATAGTAGATATTGGTCAGTCTTAAATCCTAGGAAAAAAGTCCCTTAAAATATACAACAGTATTGCTGCATCTAGAGGCATCTTGCAGAATACAGTCTATTACACATATTTAAATATATCCCCTTCCTTTCATTCCCCATCATCCTTTGCCCCAAAAAGGTTCTTACCAGTTCTGCATGTAAAGCTATCTGTTTGGCCAATCCAACAGAGTCACAAATCTAAACACAAAACAGATGAAAATAATTAAAAATGCTTTTAAATTTAAGCCAGAATCCCAAATTAAATACAACAGCACATTAAAGCATTTGCAGGTACTTAAAATGACAGGTTTAACTTTTTCAGTACCTAAAAAAGGCCTTAGCTTGAATGAATCTAGCATCTTGGACCCCATATTCACAACTGATACAAGTCACAACCATCACCAATACCTTTTCCCCTTCATTATTTGACTCAAATATATAGCAGATGGAAGTCTGGCGGCTCTCCACTCTCCCTCCTGAGGTTCTGAGCACAAATCCAAACAGGCGCTTATTCTCCTGGTGTGTAGCATACAGCACTACACTGGGCAAAGGGAACTGCCAAAAGGATCAGACAGGCAGAGATTAAAACTGATTCCAAATTTTTGCCACATGAGGTTTCAATACACTGCACATTAATTAATGCACAACCACAGCACAAGAAGTTACCGACCAAATGTAATTATGAAACACAAACAGATTAGACAGCAAGGACTAAATTATTCCAAAGACAAGCAAATGTCAAAAAACACACTCCATGTAAGAAAAAGGACTACATTTGCAGTGTGAGTCAGTCACCTTCCTAAAAGTGTATACACCCCTGTTTTATTTTGTTTTAATCATTCATTATAGTTACATTTGTGACTAAGCTTTCAATATTTAGTTCCATATAAAGGCACTACTATTCAAAAACCTTTACTGCAATTAGCTCAGTTCGCCTAATTATATAAGCAAGAAAAAAAAACCTCAACCCATACAAACCACATACCCTCATTAGTTTGTTACAAGAAAAACTGTTTTGCATTCTTATTCCTAAAAGAGGTTGGACTTCAAATTATCTTTTTAAGACTCATCAAACAATAAACTTAAAAATTCTGAGAGTCCCCACCACAGCTGCTGTGAACTGAAAGGATGAGTTTTCCTGGAATTAGATGTGTGCATTTAGTATAGGGGACATACCCTCAGTTGATGTGCCTCACTTGCAAAAGGTGACAGCTTTGGAGCATTTTTGAACTTAATGTCAAAACATTAAAAAGAAAACAGAGAAGCCAAACAGCAAACATAGCCTCTTGGACTTCAGCACTAATGTGACTCCATCATTAATGTTCTCTCTTTACTATTTTATCCTTTCAGATCACAGGGAGAAGGGAATCTCAAAAGCCAATTTGACCTATTGAAATCACTCCCCTAAACCTGATTTGCAGGTGTTTCTAATGTCTGCATTGGTTTCCTAATAGCACTGGAAATTTGGCTGGCAATCCCATGCTATCAGTGATTTTTGCTAACATCTAATAATAATATTTTTAAAGTAAAATAATTACATTCTGGGTATTTATCTTAAAATGGAAAGTTACTTACTCGTAGTCTTGTAACTTGTGTCTGTGGATCAATTAACCTAAAAATTTGTTTTTAAAGACAAACCAGAAAGTAAATTTTACCAAAGTGAAAGAAGATCATTCTGTAAATAATCATCAGTAGAAATCAGGAAGCAAACTTACTTTAAACAGTCACAAGTGACTAACAAGTGTGACTCTGTCATCCTGAAAACGTTGTGGATGGCGCGAGCTGCGAGTATCTGACGCATTGTTTCATAAACAACATCTGGGCTTTCATCAGACCTCACTTCCATGGAGCCAAGAAATCTTACAATAAATAACTGATGAAGAATTGAATCTAAGAAAAAAGAAAGGTATTGAAAAAAACAAACTCCATTTTGTGTTTCCCATTCAAAACCAAAGGTGGACTGCAGTCAGGAAAACTCCAAGCTCTTAACTTGGAAAGAGATTGCTCCTACTTAGCAATTAGAGGTGCAGTTACTGCACAGCACACCACACATCTTTGCATTTCGTTAATGAGAATACAAAAGATGCAATGAATCATTATTAAAGCAGATTTTCAGACAGCAGTTTGATTTAACTTATCAAATAGCTTGCAATGTAATTAAGCATTTTAAAACTGGTGTTAAATTAGAAGAGAGAAGCTAGAGATGAAAACAACTATAATTGTCAAAACTTATTTTTATTTTGCATTGAAGTGAAATTTTGTTTTACCTTCTGTTTCAGGTTTTGAGCCTCCAGATTCACCAAAAGGATTTGTGCGTCTATCAAAAAATGAAAACATTAAAGCAGGAGTCAGATTACAGGAACCATTCATGGATAGTGCAATAGTCTCATGCTGTGCCAAATACCAACATGTAGTGAGTTCACAAACTTGTCATCTGGAGGAGTAATGTATCATGAACCATAAGGAGAAGCAATTCTGTACTTGCTGTATTTGAGGGCCCACACTATGGAGAATACCAGATATTATTGTCCTATTACTGCCATAGAAAGTTTTGCTCACATTTTATTTTTTTTTAATATTTAAATTAAGCCCAAACCAAAACCTCGGTAATGTTTGAAAAGGAATAGTTTTAGGGGGTGAAATTTCACAGTACAGCTTTGGGAAGCACAGCCAAAAACCAGGCCCTTTCAGTACTCCATTAGAGCACCCACTTCTCATCACTGTCAAGGTGTTGAATTACTTACTCAAGAGAAGCCCCTGGGTTTGTTTCAAATGCAGCTTTCTCAAAACATCACTGGGGTTTTACTCCTAGAGATTCAAGAGAAATGTGGCTATTTCTGGCTCTCAGAGACAGAATTACTATCAGTTACAAAGAAAAGTGAAAATACTCTAGGCTTCCAAGTCTGCATTTTTCAAAAAGAGTAAAGGAATAAGCACAGGAAATGGGAACATTTCATTTAAAATTTGTACAGGAAATTACCCATTCTCTCTGGCTGATTGGTAGTTGAAAAGCTATTGGCAAGGGTTCAATATAGTTCAAATTAAGTTTTTTATGGGATTAATTAAAGTGTTACCTTGATAGTTAGTGTTCTAAAAACAAATTTGAGGACTATGAGAAAAAAAAATTGTTCAGTTACACATCCTGATTGCCAGTTTATTTTATTAATTATCAGAAATGTTTTAACTAAGAGATATCTAGTTTAAAGTAATAAATTTTCTCTCGATTGAAGCCGAGATGGCATTGCTACAATGTTTAGATAATGTGGACTCAATCAAGAACCATCTCATTAAAGGCTGACCTGTGTAATTATAGTAAAAGCAAATTCTTTCTACCAGCCTCTTCTATTGCTCCGATTTTTCTTGTTGTTTAATATTAATTGGAACAGTAAATGCAGAATCTCACAGGATCTCTCAAAAGGCAAAAATAAAATTTAAATATGTGTCATCAGTATCAGAAACCAAGAAAGTACTTCTTTTTTCAATATCAAACGTTACCTATCTCTACAAACACTGCAGTTCTTTATTGAAGGCCACGGCTAATTGAAAATACTGAGCTCAACTCTATCATTTCTGCTATGAAAAACATTATAACTGATGACATCACAGAATATTCCGAGTTGGAAGGGACCCCCAAGGATCACTGAGTCCAACTCTCCAGTGCATGGCCCACACAGGGATTGAATCCACAGCCTTGGTGTTACTGGCACCCTGCTCTGACCAACTGAGCTACACCAGGCTACCACAGGAGCTCAGCTAAGGCTTAAACTTTCCACTTCCTGCAATACAGTTCAAGTCTGTTTTAAATCAGTGTATCCTGAAGGATCTAGTTGGCTACCTGCTTATCCTGCTATACCAAGCAACAATGAAAAGAAAACTGTGGAAAAAAAGGAAAAAATAGTAGTATGTATATTTCAACTCTGACATCTGTGAGATGCAATTCAAAATTCAAATATTTTCCTAAAGGCAGGGGGATATAACATTTTTGTGACAAGAATCACATAAATTAGTTTTCATCTCTTTGGCTGTCTTTGTTGTTAAAAGCAGCTGGATCTGCAAATACATTTTGTTCATATCTGAATTCTATAGCTATAGCTCTAGAAATGCAGTGATGACTTACAGGTCTTTGGTTTTTAGTACATCTCCCACTCAAATATAATAACAAGTAGGAGAAAATGCTTTAATGTTTTGGATGAACTCTTCAGATGATTTTAACTTGGCTGTATGTGAAATTACTCTAGAAGCCTAGACCATTTTCACTCACCTTTCAGCTTAAGAGGAGTGTCATCGTATGCCATCATCACCTGGAGGCAGGGCTACCAAATTTCTCTTGAGTTTCCAAGAGGAAATAACCCAAGCTGCTGGGTGAGCAAGCAATAGGAAAGGAAAATACTTGTGAAACCAAAAGTTTAAAATAAATCAGTAAATAAAATCATTGGCTGTTAAAGCAAGAAAAGTTGCTGCAAAATAGAAAACTACACCTTGACTCTAGTGATGTAATTAAGCCTTTTTTTTACAATTCCATCTAACAGTTTAACAAATTGTTTTGCTCCACTGGCCACTGCAAAATTTGTGACATCAGTCAGGAAAAAGGCAATGTGTGTGCTGGAGCTGCATCTTAAATGTGGTGTTCTTGTTCATTGCTTTTTGAATCAGTAACATTAACTTTAGGGATTTCTTTCCTTCTCCCTACATTTCCTACCTGCCCGATTGCCCTGATGACTTTGCTTGGCCAGGCAGATCTTCACTGACTGGAGATATTATGTCAAATTGGATGGGAGTGTCAGGGGCAACAAGGGAATCCAAGGACAGTGCAGAGAGAGCTGTTGAGTCAGACCCCAGTGACCCTGTGCTGCTGGTGCGAGCTGCAGGAGGACGAGATTGCCTACAACAAAACCAAAAAGGTAAATTAGGCTATGTGACTTCAGGGGGGTTGATAATGAATTAAACCACAGGGGACACCAATACAATATTCCAAACCTTCGATGTAAAACAAAACAAAAACTAAAAAACTGAAGCTCGGGGTATAGCAAACAAATCTATGTACCTAGTCACATTTAAGTTAAAGTTACTACTTCCATTAATAATTGCATCAGATTGATTTAACATCAGTATATAATCACATATTAAGTATAATACCATCTGAGGTCTGCCTCCAGGAATTGGACACATGAGGAAAAATGAAATCACACAACAACAAAACAGACATGATGAAACCAAGCAAAGTGTGCACCAGCTGGCATTGGGATTACTTGTAACAATGGATGCTCAGCAGTGCTTCAGCAGTGAAAGGTGTGTTCAGCAAATTTTTCTCTGGCCTATCAAAAATTTAGTTCTGATCACAAAAATATTTGTAGGTTTGTTAGGCTTTTTTTTCCCCCTGGAACTTTACCCAGGATTTTCTTTATATATGTGCACCTCAAGTGCCCTCTGGCTGCTTCACTTACACAGCTGGCCTCATGCTCTCGTGCCTCTGCTGGAAGGAAGGAGAAGGAGTGACAGCCTCCAGAGCTGACTGGTTCACACGGGCAGCAATCTCCTGCAGCAGAGATGGGATAACTGGAAACATTTTTCTCAAAATAACCTTTCAGATTTTCTTTATCTTCAACTGGGAAAAGTTATAAACTCAACCCTTCACGAGAATCTTGCATTTTTAAATTTTCACCAACACATCTGCAGCATTTTCTTCCAACTTTTCTTCAAAACATAACCTGATGTTAACTTTCCCAATTTAAATGAACACATTGGCCTTTTATAAAATACTGTCAATGTTAATAAAAGGAAGCAATAGAGAAAAGCTCCAATGATAACTCTGGCAAAATAAGAAAATGTAGCCAGGAAAAGAAAAAAATCTCATTTAAGAAATGCAGCCCTCAACTTTGAACTAAAACCCATGAAGACACACTTCATATATAGATATATGTTCTGTTATAAAACAGTTTTTATTGGGCCAATTTCCCTAATTTATTAAGCAGAAATCATTATGTAAGTTTGTACCAATATAAACTTACTCTATAAATATAAATGTTAACATATTACTCATAACCATAAATTTTAGTAGAGTTACCTCAGGGTTTTCACTTAGATATATCTGCTTAGATATGTTGTTTATGGTGCATATCCACTGAAAAAGAGGAAGAAAAAAGAAAACAAATTAATCTGTTGTGTTTTCTAAACAATCTTGATTGAATACCTGAGCTGCTGTTTCAGCACTTTTTTTACTTTCTGTGTAAATTCAGGGAGCCAAATATTCTGCACACCAAACTTGTCATTCAATTCACTGCCACCTGCATACTGCACCCTACACTTTAAGATTTTACTCACAAAAATTATTTTAGTCATACTAAAACTAAAGAAAGCTTAACTTACAACTTTAAGGAATTTAAAAAAAAAACTCATCAGGATTCTCTGTTCTTCTTTATTCTGTACTGCAGATGACATTGTTTCCTCACAACATTATAAAAATTCAATTTGGCTTTTGTGGAATTTGCTCATTTCTTGCATCTGCAAGCTAGAATCTGCTTTCTCTCTCTGCTCTGGAAAACCATTTGCTCCTGTTCCTGACTTTTCAATTTTTATTTGAAGGAGGAAGCTAAGAGGAACACTAAGATAAACAAGGTGTTACAAAGACAATTTATTAGTAAGTAAAAACAGAAAAAAAAAATGCGGTATCCAGCTATGGTTAGGAATGTATTCTTTCTGTGGAGCAGAAAATCACTGGGCTCCATGCACACCTCCTATATGCTTACCTCTTCATAATCTTTTTTACTTTCTGCCTGTAAGATCGAAGACCTGAAAAAGGAGAATAGAAAACACAGTTTTGTGTATGTAAAATGCCTCACAAATACAGTCAGCCAAGAAATTACATTTTCATATTTACACTTCAAACAACAATTTATGAAATGCTGAAGATTGTTTGTGCTGAGTGCAGTCAACATTTAATTAGGATGGGGAGGAACCTATGCTTTCCTTTCAACAGGAATCAGAAAAGGAACACAATTCTAATTGTGTCCATGTAATACTTAAGTATTCACAAAATGCAGTAATATGTGATTGTCAACTAATTACCATGATCTTATTTTGAGATACTACTCTGCTACATTATAGAGCTTATAAACAAAAGTCCAGTTAACACAGTTAAAAGGATATCCCAGATTTTGCTTCTAAATATCCACAGAATATATCAAGTTAACATCTGGTCAAAGGCAGACCATCTTTCTTTTCTTAATTAATGAGTCCAGTGTTTCTTACAAGAACCAGCAGTGTAAGAGCACTCACTTTTTGCCATCAAAAGATGTGATCTGAAAGCAGTACCGTCTGTCCTCACAGTCCACAGCCATCACAGAGCAATTGTCTATGTCCATGACAAGTCCCCCAGCCACATCTCCTCTTGCCTGGCTCATCAGATTTCCACCCTGAGTGAAGTAAAACTGTCTCTCCCAACTGGAAGACACCAGCCCTGTCTTACTAAAAGAGAAAAAGAAGTCTTCAGTTTGTCTTCCTTTTTGCTCAGACTCTGTAACTTTAGTGCTGCAATTGTGTTCTAATACAGAAATTAATGCCTCATTCAGTAAGTATTTTAACTGTTGTTGTCAAAGTAATCAATCTTTTTTTTCAAAATTCCTTGGAGCTTACTGTGTAAATGACAGTAAAAAATTTTAAATGTTACAACTTATTTTTAATAGCTCTGAAAACAGCAGTGTGACTTCCTTAGAGGCACAGCTCCCTCCTCTGGACAATGAGCCACTGCTGCATGGAATCCAGAAGCTCCTTCCAAGGGTATTTTGGCTAACAGAGTGTTTTGCCTTGTTTAGATCAAAATTACAATGTTTTATTAGTAATTTGAATCCCAAAGCTTTAACAGACACTTCCAGAACAATCCTGATCGATAGAATCTTGTTACTTCCCAATTAGGATGCAGAGAAATTATACTCTCAACCCATTTTTTTTTAAACAGTGAAAATTCAGGAAAATTTTGACTAAAATCAGGATAATTATGCTTTGCACCTGAATGACATTATATCAGTGTAACAATGATAATTTAATATTAACTAGGTGAAGAAGTCCAAAGAAAGAAATAAAACAGCTCTTATGTGACTTACTCAACTAAATGTATAAAATCAGCATAGCTAACATCTAAGAAAAATTTCCAGCTTCTTTAGCTTTCCTTTCCCAAAATTAAATACTGTGGAATTTTAAATAACAAGTTACTCTTACTTTCTTGCATTGAGATAGCCAGCTTTCCGTGTTAGATTCCTATGGGCAGGAAATTTGGCAGGATCAGGATCAGGCAAATACAGAGGATCACTGGCTACTTCCAAGTCCTCTATAGTTTGTTGCATGTTTTCTACTTCACAATCCATCTCCCTGCGAACACTGAGATAAAAAATGTGTTATTAACAAAGATAATTTGTTAATAAGTAGAAACATAAAAAAATAATCTTCATAACAGTTCAAAATTCAACAATGCCAACTTACTTCTGTACACTTGTGCCAATATTGGTCAAAAATTCTTCCAGTTGCTCAGTAAGATTTTCTGAACCCATTTTAAAAAAGCTTATCTTTAAAGAATAAAGGAGAAAAAGGGAGAATTTAGTCATTAATAAAACTACATTAACAATTAACAGATGGAGTCATAGGAGGTTAAAGTTTCTCAGAGAAATCTATTTCATCCCTCATTCCTACCTAAGCCTCTTACTAAAAGCAGCAGAATGTGTGTTTGAAGGCTGCTGGTGCACTGCAGTGGCACTTGTGTCACAAGGATGTGAACAGAGCTGCCTGGAGGAAATACAGAAACACACAGGAAACACTCCCAGGGCCTCTCTGTCCTTTTTCAGTGCCACCATTCTGCTGACTGTTGTTATGGGGGGTTCTTTGGGGCACATAGGAGAGAACCTGTGAGGATCTGTCCAGGGCCATCCATAGGGAACTACCAATATGTATTTTAAGCACAAGGTACTCCATAATGGGCCAGAAAATCTGCCCAGCTAAATTGAGGTTAGAACAGGAAGCCCTGGGACATGGCCCTGCCCATCTGTTTCTTAGATTCAGCAAAAAGCTCCACCTAAGCAAGTTTGCACTTACTTTACTGCACAAACATCCAGAACTTGGCTCTTAAATACAAGCTGCAAAGTTTCAAAAGAAAGCAAGAGTTCTTGCCTTTGGAAAGCTTTCAGACAGTGTTCAGAAGTTGATTTCTACTCAGGTCACTGTAGTAGTGCCAGATGCTGGAAAGCTTGGCTTGCAAAAAAACCCAAAGCTCATGCTTAATAACATACTTCCCAAAATACAAATTGAGTCTGTCCAAATAACTTTATCATGGTTGTATTTTCTGTTGCACCCATCCTCAAGTAAACCAATCATGAACTTATTAATATTAAGCAAAACCAAAACAGAATGTTTTTTAGCATTCTGGCTCTTCCACAGCCTTGACTGACAACAGCAGTTTTGTGGCTTTTGATGAGTATCTCATTTCAGAACAGCTGCCATAGGAATGAGTTTAACTGTCTCCATGTTATTTGCTGAGAAGGTTCATGTGCACTTGCATGAAAACTCTAATCACCTCTTCAATTTAGTGGAACCAACTGCCCAGCAGTGAAAATCTAGGCATGACATCACATCCAACCACCTGAGTTTTGGGGGAAATGAACCATTATATTTATCACCCAGACTTTGCTAAAAGACTCTGTATGGCAGTGAGGGCATCTCGTGCAGAGATTGCTGCAGTGAGTGGGCACTGAGCAGTGCTAACAGCACCACCAGGGCAGCAGCTGTGGCAGCCCAGAGAACTGCATGGGTGGCTCTTGGTCTCCATTTCCTTCCTTGGACTGCAGAAGAGGGCTTGCAATGGATTTCAGTACATCAAACTTCATGACGTACTTTTATTTCTTCTTTCAGACCTACAGCTTTCAGAACCTGAAATTACCTGAGCTTGCATGTATCCTAGCAAGGGTTCTAGCAGAGAAATCTTCTTTTTGTATTGGAGAGTATTTAATGCACAGAAATAATGCATCATAGTCTGATGCTGTTTTTTCCTTGAAGTATATACATCTTCTGTAACTTCAGCCTTGATCTGAAGAGACACAGACAAGGGGAGGGGAAAAAAAGGAATGTTTGAGATTGGCATTGATCACATGCCTTCTGGACAGCTTTATAGTCAGCATGGAAAAACCCAGTCATGTTCTACCCTCTATCACCAGCTACTGCATATTTTACTATTCTGCTTCTCTAATTTAAACATGAGATATGTGAAAAACAAATACAGCATTCTTTTCTACCTGGAAACTGTGATTATTTCTTCACAAAAACAAACTGAATATGACATCACAGTATTACTCCTAAAGCACTGTCAGTGTTACAGGACAGCATGTATTGGAGAAACCTGCTTTTCTGTCTAGACTGCTAAAAGCTATCAAATGTCACACAGAATCTGCCACACACTGTCTTCCATCATAAATATACATATATATATATATATATGTAAGATGAAAATTATTTCTTATCTTCATTAAAAATCTTTATATTAAGATTTTGTTTTACAAACCTTTTCATTTTCCTTTCTTTTTGACAACCGACTGTATCTGGTAATGGCAGCATCATGGTCTAAGCAATCAAGAGAGAATTTATGATCATTTTCACGAATTAATGACTTATGAAACAGAGCAGAAAACCTTTTATATTACAATGTTACACAGAGAGCTGAATGCAAAGTTGTCATATTAGCACCTTGAGGAATAGTTCTTGTCTGTTTATAATCACTTCGCTGCAACAAATACTTGGGCTGAAGGAAAATTCTAACCAGATGCAAATGTTGCCAAATTGTTACAAAGTTCCCTAAACATCCACTATTTTTCAAAGAAGAACTGTCCATTATGTAGAGAAACTTTACATGACAAAAACCTGTATCTAATCTTTTTTGCTTCTAAAACAATTAAATAATTTTCAGAGAAGTAGAATTTATTTAAATATTAGGTTCTTCTTTAAATAAGTTCTTTACATGGATATATTAGAGGCAGCTAAAAAAAAAAACTTCTGAAAATAGGGAAGAGAACTATGAAATTCATTCTAGAAAGGTAATTTTTTTAAATTGATCTGGTCCTGTCTTTAAGAAGCAAACTAGCATCTTATTCTTTTTGTAATTTTGGTGGCATAATCCTACATTGTTTAATAATCATACATACATTTAAGGTTTTGTACAAAAACTCTTTCAATTTGCCTTAATACTTCAGTACACAGAGCAGAGATTTACAGGTGAACCAAGGAAAGCTGAGTGCCTAAGTATCACTCAGAAAAATTACACCTTAATTAATTACTTAAAGGCTACAGGCTTAACTCCACTAGTTAAGGACAAATAATAATCTACAATAATACTGTTGTCTTGTAATATTGATAAGACTAAGTACTTTACACTTACCATTGCTTGCAATTTGGAAAACTTCTTTTAGAGTTAATATCTCTAAAAAAAACAACATATCACAATTTAAGTAAGTTCTTATTAATGTAACATTCATGTATTACAGTTTCTCATGTAATGTTTCACTAGTGAGCAATTGAAGGTACCATACTGAGCTACCAGCACAGGCAAGCTACTACATGGCCAGGGAAGTCTGCTCCTGCCTGGGGCCTGAGGATCATTTCTGGGCTTACCAAAAAAAAAGGAGGAATTTCTTTTCAGAAGTCTTTGCAAGTCATCATCAATGCAAATGTGTCACCTGTAGTTCCAGTCTGGGCTCTGGTTTGAGCTGGGGACATGCAAGCATGGGAGATGGGCAGTATCAAAGCCCAAACCACAGTGGGACTCCTCCTAGCTAAAATAAGCTGAGTTCAAGCTGGTTATTGCCTCCCTGTGCCAGGAACTGGAACCAGTACAAAGCCTTACACCTGTTCTGATCTTGGCTGTGGTTTGTGCCACATTACAATACAAACCAGCCATAATCAACTTTATGGTAAAGCAAGAACAACAAAACTTTCCAGGAAGTGCCTACGAAGCCCATTAAGAAGTGTAGGGTTAATACAAACTACACCAGCTGGTGGCTACATCTTGCAGTGGGAAAATGTCATTTGGAATCACTGCCTCAGGGATGCCTCTTCAGTAAGTACTAACAGGAGAGTTTTCAGGTCCTGAGAAGCAATATCAGCCTTGGAATAGTCATGATCCCTTGCTCAAAAAAAAAAAAAACCCAACCAAACCATAATATTTTCAATCCATAATTTTGCTGTGAACTGTTGCCAAAGAAGTATTTTCCAAGACTGATGAAGAGTTAGAAGACCTATGAAAGACTTGTAATTTTTATTTCAACTTAGATTTCAGATCTTCATATCTTAGGCATACCCACTCTAGAATGTTCACAATAGGGATATTTAAGTTACTTGGAGTTTAACTCTTGAAATTTCTACTTGGAAGCCCATTTGCCACAGCAGTCTGTTCCCTCCAGTATCTTGAGTAAAATCTATCATCATCACACACATTAGATGTTATTTTAAACCAGGCACAAGATACAATTATTGCAAAAATAAGACGATGGAAGCACCTTATGTCTGTACATAAGAAGTCACCTGTACTACTAGCAGAGTTGAATAACCACATTACTAAATCTCAATACAGTAAGTACTACAACTTTGGCACTTTGCCTTTTGAGCTTAGTCCAGCAATTACACAGATGTCATGATCTGATATACAAATCTTTCCTGAAAATGCAAATTATCTGAAAATTATTCTTTCCTAATGTTTTTGAGTAGCTGCTAATTGTGCATCTTGAATAGAAGATAAGTGCTTCCCTAACATAAGTAATATTTTTGTTGCAACAATAATGTTAAGTTCAACTGTAATACTCTCATGGATAGAAATAACTTACTTTGCTTTTTAAATGGGGAGATGCATACTTTTGAGAGCTGAAAAATAAGGGGTGTATTCTATTTAGTGAAACAAGAGCTATGAAGATTAAATGCTATGTTTTTATTGTTGCTGCTGTTGAAAAAACAGTATTTGGTCAAGTCCTCTACCTTTTAGATCCCTTTCTTTAAACTGGGTAATAGGAAACATCATTGCATCTGCAAGCTGAGTTGAAAGTACTGCATGACAAGAGCTGAGCTGAAAAAGACAAAAGAAGAAAATCTTAGGGAAGCAGTGCTGAAACCAAATCAAGTCACAATAGGTGGACATCAATGTCACTCAAAGACAACCTGAACAACTCAAACACATTTTTGCATGTTCCTTTCTTTGCTGCTACTTTTTTCTAGGTTCCAGATCTCACCATCAGTTTTTTTACAGAAAACCTTTGGAGTTTAGTTTTTCTCTGAATTTTTCGAAGCAACTGGATCATGTCCAAAAATGGCCTCATCCATCCTGACTATTCCATTTATTCCCCAGTTTCCCTCTAGCTAAATCACAGCCCATCTTTCACAGCTCACAGAGGTAGAGCAAAATGTGATCCTCCTCCTAAAATGCTGCTTAAGTGAGGAGAGGAATCACAACAAAAATCCTGATTCAGCTCTTAATGGTGCTCAGTTGTGTGTCCTATGAGTCAGTATCTAAGAGAGACAGCAGGAGGGTCCTCTGTCAGTCAGGTACCTGGAATCAGGCAACACAGAGACCCTCGTGTACAAGCTGCTAACTGCCACTGTGTAATGGTTCTGGCTCTATCTCTAATGGTAAACTACAGTTTTTTCAGCAATGTACCCTTATTTTCCTGAATTTGCTCTTTATCCTAAGGTTATGTAACTTTAAATAGATGCTGCAATATACAATTAATTGTTACCTTGTTGACAAATGAATGCCATTTCTGTACTTTCTGGCTTAAAAAAGGAGTAATTAGGCAGTTAAAGTCTGTACCTGACAGCATTAGCAAAGCACATACAAGGACTTACCTCATCAATCACTTTTGCAAATTGCTGCAGAGTGGAAGTCATGACTTCATCATCTCCCCCGAGTGGAAAACGCTGAGAAAGCAAAAAGAGTTATGTCGTTTGCAGTGTTTTGTGTCATTCACAAAACTGGATTAATCATCTCTATGAGTATATCAGGTATTCCATTATTTTAAAATATTACACAGTTAAGATATACTGAAGCAGTTCATCTCATTAGGTGGAAATGGAGGATAGGGAGCAGCAGCCTCTTAAAAGAAGCAAATTTTTGTTTTAAACATTTTTAACCCCAGCAAAGGGGACCCAGCAGCAAAGCTGCAAAGAACCCTTCATAGTGCAGGTTATGAGGGAAGAAAGTTATGGATTCCACAGTCTGTGCTTTCAGAGATGGAATTATGCTCACAGAGGAAATTATGGTTGTAATTTGGAGATTGCAATGCAATCTCTTCTCTTTGGGACTATTGATATTTAAGCACTTAAGGGTAAAAGGTTTATAAAGTAAAACCAAAACAGAACTACCCTAAGCAATTCTCAAAAAAACTAATCCAAAAGAAAAATATTTCAGAAGTTATTAATATCCTTCATGGTAAGAGGAACTTCATTCTGGTTTAGCTGGAAGAACTAAAATAAAGCAGTAGATTCCTTTGGCAACAACTTAAACCAAGCCACAGTAGTTCCTTTTATCTGGACCAAACCTAAATACATTGTACACTGCGCTCTGGGAGATAAAACAATACAAAAATACACAGTATTCTGACCACAGTATCTGACCACACACAGACAACATGATTTATGCAGTACCTGTTTCTCATATTCCTTCAGAAGCTTTGAAGTCAGATGAGTTGCTGCACTTAATTCATTCTGATTTAAAAAAAGGGAAACATGAAAATCAATAAAAAGTCAAACAGGTAAAGCATATCTAAATTACAAATACAGACATAAACTCAAATTTTTAGAAAAACATACAAAATAGATTCTGTTTCTGGCATAAAAATGGAGATATTTCTAGATGAGCAAAACTTGAATATATTGTGGGTAAAAAATAACCTCCCACTTGATACATACTATTATACACACCTTAGTGTGTGCAACATTTTAGAAACACTTGGGAAATACCACAGAGCTGCTTGGAGAACAGAGAACATAATTTCACTTGTCATAAGAAATCTCGAAAAATAATCACAAGAATTTATCTTTACCATGCCCTAACATACAGAAAAGCAATCATTAATTTTTACGTTATTTCACTTCTGCATTTAAAGCATCTGGAAGTTAAAGAAACATGCAATGCAGTTCCAAAACTTTATAATGCTTTCAAGAATTTCATTAACACTACCTGAGCATCATATATTCTGTGCATGGCTTGAAACAACTGATTGATGTAATTGGATATTGCAGCAGCATCTTCTTCAAATACTCCCAGCAACGAGCGGGTCTGTAATAAACAAACAGCCAAAACAAGAACATGACAAGTTAGAAGAGAAGAATTTAAATATAATGGAATTTCAGACTTAAATACCATTATTTCAGATTTTAGTAATAAAATTTTATAAACCCTTAATACTGTTTAAAGGAATGATACCTGTTGCATGCCAAAGAATCTTACAGCTAGCCAAGCTCAGCCTTCCTCCCACTGTCAGCCTCTCTCCAGGTTAATACATTTTCAGAAAGGAAAGGGCCAAGGGAGATGGACAACTGTTAAATGTTGAAACTCTGGGCAACTACTGGGCTCACTATGGTACATCCCTAAGGAGAGGGGTAAAGATTACTGGTATTAAACAGCTTGCCAGGTATACATATTTCCTCTGTGGTGATATCCAAATAAAGGCTGTGACTGTCTCATACTGTCCAACCTGAACACACAGTTAGTGGTTGTGCTTGGAACTATAATTTATCTGTGGAATAACCATCAATTCTGTGATCAAAAGGTTGAGGACCTACACCAAACCAAAACAAACAATACAACCTGCATCTGACTGTCCTCAACATAGATGTTTCTCACCACTGAAAAGGAGTGAAAAGATCTGTCCTCACCACAGCTTGTCAGTCTGTCAGTTCTGTAGCTGGTGTCACCCACAAGCCTGATACCTCCTGTGTCCAGCTGCAGTGCTTGCATCTCTGATGGTGCTTAACAACCTCCATCTCAAAAACCAACCTCATTTATCACTGGCCACCTATTAGACTTAAACATTGATCTCCATCTCTAAGCCCAACTACCCAGCCAGCTTTTCCACTCAGGCCACAGCCCACGCCTCTCCCTTTTGACCAGAAGAATGCTGCCAGAGCGTGTCAGAGCCCTTGCACAGCCAGGGTGACTGACATCCCCTGCTCTCCCTCCTGCCCAAAGGGCTGACTCAGGTTGCTCAGGTGTAATTTTCCTGTAACCTTAAATGAGATGCTGACTGCATGTTCTTGCATCCTTGTTGCACTTGGAAGCAAGGTTATTCCTCCTCGCTGTGAGGATTTTGAATGGCTTCCTTCCACCAAAAATCCCAAAGGGGGAAGAGCAGAAGATGTCCCAGTAACTCTGCACAGGCCACACTGGCTTCTCTTAAAACATTTCTTGGGATGCTTGGCTGTAGAAGAGGGAGCAGCACTTGCAAGAGTCACAAAGGAAATACTCTGGCAATGTTTTAGCAAAAGGACCATGCTTTGTTTCTAGATTTGCACTAAAATTAATGTCCAGGCAGAAAATTAAAAGAATCATAAGCACATTATTGGATTTTTTTCCCCAAACTATGATTGTTAAACACTTGAAAGTGGAAATTCTGTTTCTTAGTCTACCCTAGGCTGTCTTGCAACTACTGAAGTCTTTAGTCCATCCCTCCTTGAAGTATGAAGGTCTTTTTCAGCTATTTCTGATTTTTTGCTTTTAATGATAATCAAAGAGTACATATTAAACTCACACAAAGTATATTAGTTAATGATTCCTTTTGATATAAGATTCTTTTATCTAAGTTGCATTAGAAGCCTGGCTGTATCACAACTACTGTCATACTATATAATGCCTAAAAGATATAATCAAACAGCATAATCAGCACAAAAATAGCTTTAATGCTGGTTTTATTTTATAAAACAAGTGGAAAGAGGTGGAGGAGAAGTCAAATCTTTGCCAGGTGTGGCAACATGTGTCATCCTAACAGCCTTGACTCTCCCATTAAGGGAGACATACACGAAAGAATGCAAAAGAAAAAATTACATGGTACAATAACCATTGAATTATATACTCATGACCTTTAAACCTGAACATAAATAAACCTGAGATTGTAATTTTAAAGGAGTATTATGTCAGGTTTCTGGATTATACTAACTCTTTAAAACTGAACATGGAAAAAAATATGGTATGTTTTACGTTAAAAATGTCTGTTATTGATGTTTAACCATCAAAATAACATCATATGATACCAATGGAAAGAAATTAACCTGAAACTGTAAACAAGTTATGGCAGACTTCTGCTTAGCAGAAAATGAGAGCATTTGTTTACTTATGTTCCTAGTAAAACTCTGCATCATTTTGCATTTTCTTTAGGATTCTTTCAATCCGTGTAAGAGCAAAGGACCAGGGAGAAGCTGCACAAAGAAAGCCCTTGTCAGAAGTGAGTGCTAAGCCGTCCATGCCATCAGATGGAGGGCACTGCAGGTGACAGGAGACAGAGCCTGTGCTGCCAGTCTCTTGGCTTTTTGTTGTGCAATGCTTTGGGAATGCAAATCAGTGTGAGCAGAAACTCTCCAAACACACAGGGAGTGTGTGTAATAGATGTCCTAGGTTAATAACTAAATTGCTCTGTTTTGCATAGGAAAAGACTATGTAAACCTGGTGTTTGGTTAGGCCTGACAAGCACAGTGGTTAGGTTTTGATCCTGTGACAACAGGAAATGAATGGGTTTGGACATTTTTGAAAAGCCTTTCCTTCCTCAGACACAGAATAAGTTTGATGTGAAGATTATATACCTACAGTCAGTGTCTGAAACACGAACTGCAGGCCATGGTGCAGCACTGAACAAGCACCCAGGCTGAGGGGCTGTGCAGGATTCACCATGAATGTATCCAAGTCATGGCAACTCCTCCAGAGAGAGCCTTCTGCTTCTTCCAAGCCACATTTGCTGCACTGATTTCAAAGTAACAGAAATGAACGAATGTAACAAATGGACTAACCTAACAGAACACTGAGTCCTTCCTAGAGAACCTGGGTCCTGGAATTCACCTGAAATACTAAATTGACTGAATTATGTAAATTTTCTACCTAAAACAAAAGACAATACTGACAAATCCAATTACTTAAGCATCTCAAACACATCGGGCTGAATCAGTCTTTGCTTGTCTGTATCACAGCTAACCTCACACGGAAGATTCTAGAATTACAATTGCATTCCAATAAGTAACATTTTTTGAAGTGCTTCCCAAATGTCTTCAGGTGGTCCTAAGTTCACGTCACATTTGACATTTCCTATAAATACGAATAGTTCTGCCTTCCTTATACTAAGAAAAGACCTTCAGGAGATTTTTTTTTTTAATCAGTAAAAGACTTTCAGAATGTTTTCCTCTTCATGAGATGACAGCAGGTTTGGCCCCTGGACCAGAACCCAGATTAGAGCCCAGATCTCATCTCACATTCAGCATTTGAGCTGTCTGGGGCACTGTCCTTAGGAAATCAAGTATTCTTGTTCTGTATGGCCTTCTCTTGCCTTTTTAAAGTCATCCTTCCACCTGATACAGAATTGTTAAAATAACTGTCATATTAGGGGTTGTATTCTGCTTTTTAGCAAGTGAAAGTTTCTCCTCCTGTAACTAAGGAATTAAAACTACAAATGCACATGCTATGGCAATATAGGACAAAGTGCTCACTATACAAACCATGCACCAGAACAAGGATCTTAACTCAAAAGGCTGCCGTAAAAGAAAACACATTGCAAACTTTCTCCAGCATCTAAGAAATACAGTACAAGGACTTGCTCTTGCTGCTGCCAGCAACAAGAGAAACCAGAGACACCGAATAAAGCATTTCCTACTTCAGAAAGAAACTCCAGAGCATCGCTGACACACGTCGGGCAGCAGCAATGCCCGGGAAGAGTCGGAGCACGGAGCGGCCTCGGGGCCCCGTGTGCCCGCCCCGCTGCGCACTGAGCGCACCCAGCAGCCGCCCCGCACGGCTCCGCTGACCCGCAACGCGCCTCAGAGAGAAACAACGAGGAAAAGCCTCTGGAGAAGGCAGCGCGGGGTTTGTGGGCACGCGGTGTCCAGCATGGATCCTGAGTGCGAAGGCGGGGGCGGGAGCAGAGAGCCCGTGCCGGTGCCGGCACTGCCCTGCCCGAGGGGCCGCAGCTCCCGCAGCTCCCGGGAGCTCCGAGCGGGCCTTGGCAGGGCCCGGCCGGGGCGGAGAGCCCGAGCCGAGCCTGCCGGAGCCCCGCGGGGCCGAGCAGGCAGCGTCCCCGCCGCGCTGCTGGGGCGTCACCCTTCCTCCGGCCCCGCCGCGGCTCTCCCGGGGCCGGCAACGACAGGGAAGCAGCGCTGGGCCCGCCAGCAGGAGCTGGGCCCGCTGCGGCCTCCGCCGGGCCCGTCTCACCTGCGGGCTGTCCTCCAGCGTCTCCTCGATGGGCAGTTTGTCGATGCCGGGCATGGCGGCGACCGCGCTGAGCCCCCGCGGCTCCGCTGCCCCCGCGCCGGCCCGGCCGGACCCGACCCCCGCCCGCCGCGCGCCGGACGTCCCGCCCCCCGCGCGCCCCGCTGCCCCATTGGTCCGCCCGGCCTCCCCATGGGCCCGCCCGGCTTTCCCATTGGCCCGCTCTCTCCTCTCACCCGGCTGCCCATTGGCTGGCGGGCCTGCCCGTTCCCGCGCAGGGGCGGGGCTGAGGCGCTCGGCGGTGTCCGGGGAGCGGCCCCGTGTGGGGAGCGCCGGGGCCGCGTCCCCGCTGAGGCGGCTGCCCGGCAGGGCTGGTCACGGCTGCCCGGCAGGGCTGGTCACGGCTGTCAGCAAAGTGTCCTCCCAGCCCTGTCTGTCTGTGCTGCGGGCGTTGTTGTCGTCTCCTCACAGACAATTACCTTGAGGGCCGCTCCACAGCAAGGGAGCGCTGCTGGGTCCCGGCCGTTCTGGAGCACCCTCGGCACTCTTGCCCCGTTATCTGGAGCATCCCTTTTGGCAAGTCTCTTATCCCTGACATGTTTATGGGCCCCAAGTGGAGACCAGACACTTCTACTGTGCTTGCAGTGAGACGACAAAGAGGTCTTAAGCTGAGACAGGAGAAATTCTGATTACATATTAAAAAATAGTATCTCTGCTCTCTTAGACTGAATAATTGTGGTGCCATAGGTTGGTGGCAAATTTTAAATGCTTAAAACTACTGTGAGGGCTCACTGAAATCAAAACAGATTATTGGTTGGACTTGTGAACTGGTTCGGCTCTGAAATTATTTAGAATTGTGAATCCCTAAAATTAGAAAAGACCTCTAAAATCATAGAGTCCAACCATTAATCCAGCAGCCCGTGTTCACCACTAACCCTGTGCCCAAGTGCCACATCCTCACATCTGAACACTGCCAGGGGATTGTCAGTGCCACCCTGCCCATGGAGAAACTTTTCCCAATATCCAATCTAAACATTTCCTGGCACAGCTTGAGGCTGTTTCCTCTGGTCCTGTCACTTGTTACCTGGGAGAAGAGACTGACCCCACCTGGCTACAACCTCCGTTCAGGTAGTTTTAGAGAGCAGGACTTGATTATAATTTTTAGCTGGGAAGAAAAAACCTATTTTCTTGTTGGTTTTGCCATTTTGGGACCAGGTGAACTTAGATTAAGACCAGATTAGAAAGTACATGAAGTCATTCAGCAGAACAAATGAGTAATGAGTGTGCAGTCTTGCTATGAGACCATTCATTCTTTATGTTGTATCAGGTTATGATTTACCATTAAAAGCAGATAAAGGACAGGAGTGGTGTGTTAAATTGCAAACAATTAAAGATTTTTGAGGTGGCTTTTGTTTTGTTTGTTGGTTTGGGTTTTTTGGTGGGTGATAGATGGGGTTTTTTTGGTTTTTTTTCTGTTGTGTTGTTTTGGTTTTCCCTGTAGGGAGTGGTGAAGAAATTTCCAAGTTAATACTGTTCAGTCAATTAATTTACCAGCTCAACTGGTGACTCACCTGACTGAAGCAAGTCACAGCACCTCTCCCTTTCCCTGTCAATAAGGGTAATAATTCAGGGTTGTCTTACAAGGTGTTTTAAAGACTGAGACTTGTCTCTGCAGCATGTGACAGGACATTAACAGTGGTTCACGACCTATAAATATACGTGCTTTCTGGTTTTGAGACAGTTAACTTGTGACCAAGCTTTACAGCAGTAAGAAATTACTTTGTTTTGTACAAAGATCATTTCCCAGTGGAATTCAGGAAGGTAGTAACTTTAACTGGATTTGGTTTAGTTAGCTTTGTGTCTTTACAGCTGTAAGTGCCATCCAAAAGTCTTACTTGAGCTAAATTTGACTGCAACAAATGTAATAGTAATGAATTGAAGAATCCCTCTGCATCCTCTAATTGTGATTTTAGTGTTACACTGTTTTCAGGGTTGTAGACCTTTTGTTAAGGTGTGAGGGGATTTTTGTTGTCTTTTGGGCTTTTTGATTTGTGGGGTTGGGTTTTTTGTTTAGTTTGGGGTTTTTTGGGGGGGGCGTTGTTGGTTTTTGTATGTTATGTTTTGTTGTTGTTTCTGCAAAATATCTGCTAAGAAGCCTTAAAAATGTGGGGAAATAACACTTGGCACTTTGTCAACAGGGAGGAGCAGTGAACACTCTTCAGAGGATTCCAGATGTGTGCCCTGAAGGAGAGCACATTTTCCCTCTGCTGGAGGGTGGAAGTAGCTGTGTGGATAAGGTAGGCTTTATTTGCACTATTTCCCAGTTTTTAGCACATTCTTTCTCATACTTTTGTTAGAGGCAACCTTGGATTAACCTTGAATTTACCTGCATTCACTTAATCTCCCTGTGTCAAAATAGCTTTTACTTCAACCAAGAAATAGCTAACTGCTTTTGTTCTGTGAAAATTGGTGTTACCATTTTGAGGTATTCTCGCTTTAACAAAACTTGGGAATTCTGAAGTTGGCTTTGAATATAATACTTGTTATTAATGTTTAAAAAGTATTTGAAAGAGAGCTTTATGCAGCATAACTTCTGAAATGTTGGTGAAATAACTTCTGAAAAGGTGGTGAAATACTGTGTAAAGAGGTTGTGGGAAAGGTGAGGTGAAAGATGAACTTTTGGAGTGTGATAAGTAATGAAGAAAGACAATATATACCATTTATACTCTTTTAAAAAGCTGAAAATGTTGCCCAGGCTCTAGTGAAAGGTGACCCAGCAGTGGGTGAGAAGAGCAAAAGGCAGCAGGAGTAAGAACTTCAGAGCAAAGCCCCCAAGAGCTCTCGCTGTGGGCTCCTCAGCTGCTGCAAACAGCCGGTGGAGGATTCCCATTCTGGAGAAGGAGAGCTCCATCTCCTTCTCCTAAAGAGATGAACTCCACTGTCCCTGGGCAAAAACCGGTGCTGCAAAGTCTGAAAGGGAGATTAGTTTCTTGCCTAATCAAGTATGTGACGCTGTAAGGGGATTGGATTTGCATATCCAAGGAGCAGTGAGTTTTCCTATTATTGATTACTTAGGATTCCCAACTTAATGTTTGCTGTGTGGCTCTAATTACCCCTACCAAGGTATTTAGTTAAAAGTCTCTAGGTGATTTCAAATGGGTTGCAAGGTAGTATTGGTCAATGCTAATGGGCCAAAACAATGAAATACAGTTTTCAAGAGAAGGCTTAAGGTCCAAAAATGGTGACTGGAGCTCATCTTGCAAGTGAACATTGATATGTGTGAGAAGTGTCCTTGGTAAGATCACTTCTGGAATTGTCACTCTTTGAATAGTTTGGTTTGACAGCAATCTTACTGCACAACACAGAGTCAGGCCAGAAGGAGAGGTAACTTTTCCTCCTGAAATAAAAATATTGCGTTCATGTTTGCCTGTTAGTTTTGGACAAATCTTGATTTTGTAGTGTCTCTACAGAAATTTCTCCTTTTCTTGTCCTGAACCAAAAGCTGGTTTTGAGCATGTGATGTAAAATGCTGTGTGACTGACAGATGAGCTTGAATATAAAAATGTTATAGTCTGTATTTAATTATAATGGATGAAATCAGAATTCTGTCAGACTTTATTACAAAGCCTTTATCTCCTTTCTTCCCATTACTCATAATTTTTTTGGTGATTTAAAATGTTGGATCTGTAGGATTTAAATATACTTTTGTTTGCCATAAACTACAAGGAGGGAGAGACATATATGAGAAAAAGGATGCTTTTAAACCTGTAAATTTGAGTGTACTACTTCTATTACTTGAAGTTTTGCTTTTATGTAGTGAAGAATTATCAGGAAATTTCACATCTGGTGTGTTTCAAAAAGGCTGCAACAAAGTTATTTTAATAAGAAAAATGAATGCATGAATTATTTAAAATAGTTGGTGCAACTGTTCCTATTAACTAATCCAGGCACTTGGAAGGCAATTACACTGAGCTTTGACAACACTGCCAACCCACTGCACAGCGCCTTATGCCAAAAGCTATTGTTGTTTTATTGACCACGTTCACCATTACATATGCATATGAAAAAACAGAGGCATTTTCATCGGGATTACCCTAATAGCATTAAGAGATTATTTTTTAAATTTCCTTGGAAGGAAATTCACTTAAATGAGATTACTTATTACTTGACTGGTTTCCTATCATGCTTCTATGTTTAGGTAAGTGGAGTCCATTAGAGTATAAAGTTTTTTTAAAAACTGATTTTATACATTAATGATTTCAAATAAAAGAGAAGTACTATATTTGTGCACAGCTTCTTTTGAGAAAGTGAAGTCGATGCTCTGGTTAGGAGAGATAACACTTTTTGTCCCCCTTGGTGGCCCCCCTAGTGTCACCATTAGTTGCTAATTACTTGCAAACAAATAAACAATTAACTCCTCGTGCCTCTTGGTGGGAGAGTTTTCATTGACATGCTAAAACTTTCTAATAAAAGATTTTAATTAATGACGTTACAAATCCAACCCCCTTGTCAACACAGCTATAAGGAGGACTTGTGGAGAAATGCAAGTACAGTAGCCGGGCGATGCTGGCTGAGGGCGAAGGCATGGCCGGTCCCTCGCTGTGTGCTGCCGCCTCGGCGGCCTCTCCGGACCCGCACAAGGTGCCCGGCTTTGGAGAGAGTAAAACCACACACTGCTCCTTTTCCATCGAGAGTATATTGGGACTGGAGCAGAAAAAAGATGGCATTCCATCTGGGAAACCTCACAGACCCTGGATGGATGCATGCACCAGCTTGGGTAAGTCAGTCTGTTTTGTAACCTCTTAAGCTTTTACCCTTTAATAATACTGGCATGTTTCTACTACAAAGCAGTAAATTGAAGCTCTGCTTTTCTTGCTCTTTCTAGTTTTAGGTGATGACAGTAATCCCCACCTGCAAATCCCTGTTGTTTGCTATGAAAATCCATTATTTCATGCTAGAAGTGATCCAGTGCAGGAGGAAAACGTTTTGAAATGTGAAAAATATTTTTCAGTCACTGAAAGGCTGTCTTTCAAACGAGAATTGAGCTGGTATAGGGGTAGAAGACCAAGAACTGCATTCACTAGAAACCAGGTAGGGCTTTCCTTACCATTTAACAAATGAGTAACAATATAGTTTAGTAAAATGTTGGAAGAAACCTCTAACAGCTGATAAGTTCACTGTGATGTACCTCTGCAGAGAGAAATGTAATCAGGAACTAGAGTAAATTAACAGGAATGTTGCTAATTTCAGCAGATGTGTGTTTATGCATGGAATCAGAGTTGTGCAAACACTGATCAGAAGTCTTCTGTTGAACAAACTAAGCTGTTATTTTATTTATTTTATGTATTACTGCTATGAACATAGTGTTAACTATTCAACAAGTGTATTTTAATCTCCTCAGATTGAAGTCTTGGAAAATGTTTTTAAAATGAACTCCTACCCTGGCATTGATATTAGAGAAGAGTTAGCTCGCAAATTAGATTTAGATGAAGACAGGATCCAGGTAATTAAAGATTTATTTGAATTTTTCTGTAATTCCAGCTATATGTACTCTCTGCTTATGTACATAAGTAGTTTGACAGCAGTAATGAGAATGTTAATACTCTCAATTTAAACCAATGTATATACATGAAACATGTCTTCAATGATTTGTGAAATGGAAACCACTGAATTCCTTCTGAAATCGAAAGCCTTCTATAGCACCAACGAGGTATTCATCACCATAATATTTCCACAATATCTGCTCTGTTAATCTCTAGTTATTATGTGCAGAACTTGATAATTTCCTTTAATTTTTTTAATGTTTTGCTTGTCACCATATTTGAAAAATAAATTTGAAACAGGTACGGACATAATTTGTGAGACCACCAGCAGAACATGGATGTGTTAAACCAGTGTTTGAACCTCTGTCTTTATCTGGCCAAAAGCAAAATCAATTCAGGGATGTTAATTATTGATTTCCAGGTAATTCAGTGTGATAAGTACACATAAGAATTTGGGCTTCATTTTGTTGTTTATCAGGCTATTTTGTTGCAAGTATTATATTTGGCTTGATGAGAAACTTGATGCTGCAAATAGTTAAGCAGCACCATAAGACATGTGTGAATTCCAGATGTTCAGGATCTTCCAGGATCTGATTCTGTCACTGAATTTAACACCTGTTTTTATATTACAGTGAAGCTGATCTCATTTTCCAGGTAACCTGGAGATATTATTTTCTTGTGGTGATAAAATTACAGCAGATTTTGAATTTATATTGAACTTGCAAACTGCTGTTGTTACACAAAATATTGTCATACTGTGTGAATACTTTTAAGTTTCAAATATTATTTTGCTTCCACTGCTGTGTTTCTGAAAAGCATCCCTTCTCTTTCCATTTTAGATCTGGTTTCAGAACCGTCGTGCAAAGCTGAAAAGATCACACAGAGAATCTCAGTTTCTAATGGTGAAAAATACTTTCACCTCCAGCCTGCTGGAGTAGAAGGAAGGATGGCTTGCTGTTACAGTACTGCTACAGAAAATGAAGAATTATTCAAAACCTGTATTAAGTAATGAAATAGTAATTATGATTTTATGCCCAGATTTGAAAGTTTATTATAATTTTCATTCAAATAAACTGTAAATACTTGAAGTATTATTCTAATCTACTTTTTGTGGAAAAAGTGAATTGTTCCTATATATATTTGAGTAAGTATTTTCAGAGATTTTTTGAGATATTTTTGCAGCTTAAAACAACGCAAACCCTAGGTTGCACAAGAATTTCAGCTTCTATGAATTACTGCAGATGACTTGAGAAGCTTTATGGTTTTAGAAAAAGTCTGTTTCAAGTCTGAAATAAACTGTATGCAAAATAGATTTTGCTACAGGAAACACTTTGTTGCATTGCAGTTTAAAAAGCTTATTTGTAAAAAAATATTATAGTTTTCATAAAGAAGATAATTTTTAGAAAAAAGTGTCTCCAGTGGAAGGACTAATATTCAACTGCCTTCAGTTTTAACAATTGCTCAGTTAAAAGAAGCTGACAGTTATCATCTTTTTATGTGATTTTAATTAATTTAGGTTCTTTGCCTATTTGATTCTCTAACTTGGTTATCTCCTCCCTTGTCAGTATAACTGTTCTAGTTATGGAAGTTGCCCTATTATCTTTTAATGACAAAATTTAGCATTTCAGGGGATCAGATCAGTGGGGCCAGACCAGATATCCAGATCATTGCCATTAATTTTAGGGTGTTTAATTCATTTTTATCAAACAGTTCATGAAAGTTAATTATCCTCGTATTTGATATTGAACTTGAAGTCAAGGAGAGCCATATATGAAAAAAAACCCCTCGAATCTTTCTTCATGGGCACAGTGTAGGGAAACTTTGTGAGTACAGGCTGATGCTGCTCTTTGTTCAGCAGAGCTCTAAGCACTTGCCTCATGTGCTGGTGACCTTCAGTGAGACTCCAGCCTGTGTTTCCTGCTCGACATAAGTTCTACATTATCTCATGAACAGAGAGTATTGCTCTTCCTTTCTTCATGCTTGTATCCATAGCTGTTGTCCAATAGGATGAAAGGTAAGTTGATAAAATAGGGTGATAGAAAAAATCATTTTATGTAGTCTCATACTAGGAAAAGCTAAAGGGAGGGATGATCTGACAGTCCTTACTTAGTATTTTGAACTATAGTTTGAGCTAGAAGAGATTAAATAGAAAACTTCTTTATTTTCTGAAGAATATCACTGAAAAACTGCATTACTTTAGAACTGGGTGACAGATATTGGCCCTTCCATGTTTTTATCTTCATTAGCTCATTGCCTTCACTTCTATGCAGAATCCTAAGAATCTTTAATTGTTTGGCTTTGCTCCTGGAAATCTTATTTTAATACGGAAATAACAAACTTTTATCTGATATTGAAACATTATTTTTTGTGCTTTATTGGATTTGGGAAATAACATTCCTAACTGAATTCTGTTGTATCCTGCATTCCAAAATACTTAAGAGAACCACTAGTAAAGCAATTTAAATTGAGACAGATCCTTTAGGAATAGTTCTTAGAGAAGCTGAAATCTCAATTCAGCTACCTGCCTGATCTGGTAAAGGCAAAGACACTATTAGGAATGCATTCTTTTATTTTGTTTTTCTTCACACCTCAAAACGTATATTGCCCATAGCTTAACCTTATTGCAGGTAATCTGAAACTATTGTCTGCTTTGCTTCTGGAAACAAAGTTTCCAGCAGCAACAGATTAGACTAATCTGTACAGATTGATTGCTTAAGAACCTTACTCTATTATCTGGCAAATACCTAAATACACCTAAAGTCTGCTCTAATGGAACTTGTCTCAAGTGACGGAAGTCTGACAAAGCAATTTAAGAGAAGCAGTAGAATAGTAGCAGAATAATAATAGCACCAGCCCTGCTATCCTGCTCTCCATTAGCAAAAGTTACCAGCAGGATCTTTAGTGTGAGGTACAAGGAGTGTCCCACACAGTGCTAAGGGGAAAAGAATTTAAAAGCAGAGTTGCATTATTTCCTTCATTTGGCTTAGCTTGTCCTTCCCAGAGTAAAGGAATCAGCAAGTCAAAAAAGAGCCTCTCTCTTTACATTTATACCTACTTTGGCCAGCATGGGTTTAAATTGTGCCCATCACTTTCTCAAATACAGCTGGTGCCTCTCTCTTTACATTTATACCTACTTTGGCCAGGATGGATTTAAATTTCTCAAATACAGCTGTTTTTTTTTCTACCATGCAAAGTATTAGTCTGGACCTCACAGGGTCTTTGTCTTGCCGTGGCAATATGCAGGGCTCCCTTGGCAATGGATGTGACAGTTGTGTGCCCTGTGCAGGAACTGCAGTGGGGGAGGCTGTGAGCAGCGGCCACCCTGCATGCTGGAATCCAGCCCTGCTCCAGTTTTGCATGCTTTGCCTTCCAGTGTTTCTGCTTGTCTCTCTGCCCTTCAGAACATGGAAAATCTCAGTCTTTTTTGTTCTAGTTCTGGCTTAAGCTCATGAAACCACAAACTTTGCTTCCAGCCATGTTGCCTTGCTTTGCCTCCAGTGATCATTTTGACCCTTGTGATAAACTGATACATTAACTAAGATGGTGAAAAACTGTTCTAGCAAAGAACTCTCTCACTCAAGCTGTCATGTCAACAGCCATGAGCAGGTACAATATAGGCTCTGTCAGGTTGATACTGGGTCTCTGTCTCTGACTGTAGTGTGGCCTAAATATTCTTGTAGTGTTTTTCTGAGATAGGTCCAGTACCTGTGATCCTAACTGGGATGCTGGGCTGCATAATAGTTTGTTTTGAATTGATGTTCTTCTCTTAATTACTGTCTCCATATTAAATTTTCTCTAACTACAAATTTCAGCAATGCCCAGTGTTGTCCAAAAAAGCTGAGCCATGTCTGTGGTCCAAAAGCAGATTCACAGTAATTTATACCAAAGAGTCAATGTTCCCAAAGTTCTGTTGTGAATTTACTTGAAGCATGCATAAAAGCATAGTTTAAACTTCAATGTTAGCATCAAAAGCCCAGACTGAAATAGCATTCATGAAATTGTCATTTAACACTTTGAATTTGCAATTATTTAATTTGTCAAGTCTGTGCTTACAAATAGCTAGTTAGCACACCAGCAAACTACATGTTATGATTTTTCTGGTGTGTGGATACATCTACACCTAATTTTCTACTTGTTCAAAGTTTTTATTGGAGATACTTCTGAATAGTTTAAACCTGTGAGTTCTATAGTTGTATGTAAGAAGATTAACATTGTGCTCAAAGTGTTATTAGAAGGAAGTGTGACTTCAAAAATAATCCAGCATTTTTTATGTGACTGGATTTTAACAGAAGCCTTGTATAAAAGCAGTGTGAAATAATTTGCAAATGCCTTCAGTTTATCGAACATGAAAAGAAGTTTATCCTAAACGATTGAGATCAGCTCTCAGGTTTAACTAACAATCATAAAATTAAGGCTTCCTAAATTGATTTAGTTTCTGTATTAATTGTTAGGTTGATGATCTTTGTCACTTTATTTTAAAGGACGTACATAATTGGATGGGAAATATAAGGTATTTTATTTTAAAAAATACTTTGGAGCTATAGTGATTGACATGAATTATTATTTCATGAACTGTTATTTGTGTAATGGATTCATGTTGAGTCAAAATCCCATTCTGTTATTTTACATGAACTATTTATAATATCTTATGTATGTATTTGGTAATGAAAGAGTAAAAAGACAAAGTATAATAATCATTATATGGGGGGGAGCTGGGGCTGTTCAACCTCTTGGGGGGCATAAGGATCCCTCTGATTGCTTCACAAGGGGAGCTCTTGTGGTCACAGTGGGCAAACAGGACTGTTGGTGAGGGAGAGGAATCCAGGGCTGCTGAACAGCCTTCAGTTCTAGATTCCTTTGTGGAGGAGTAGTGCCTGCACTTGTGTGACATGAGGGGAGAGGGCTACACAGAAAATCTGGAAACCAGCCTGTCTATTTTGGGCACCCAAAGTTGATAGTGGTGGCCAGCAGCATTTTCAGGAGAATCCCAGGAAGAGTGAAGTGTTGCCTTGCATGGCCCAGTGTTACCAATGGAGTTTTGCTTTCTTAGATTAACTAGCAAATTAGAAAATTAATCATGTACTTGTTGAGAGTAGAAACAGCAATAAACTGGATTTCTTTTAATACCTGTTTTTTTGCAGGACACTGTTTATTAAGCAAGTAAGATAAGAACATGCTCAGAAATGCTTAGGGATATCTGGGCTTTGGTGTAGCTGGGTGTGATTGCCAATGACTTTCACACCCCTGGTTATATGAGTTATATTTGATGTGCTGTGGGGCTGGTATTACAGTGACAGAATTAGTACTGCATTGCTTGTGCCTTAAAAAAATAAAAGGAAAAAAAGAGAACAAAAAGCAGTGAAAGGATAGATTTTGCAAGTGTGTTTTGATCCATGTTGTGCATCACTAGGTGTGAAGTCCAGCATCTTGAGCAAACAGAGTATATTGAGGAATCACAGGTGCAGGTAGTGCTCTTGATATTAAGTTTCAAGCAGGGTCATGTGGCTTGGGATGTTGTAAAGATGTTTATGTGTGACCAGGAAAATTGATACAACACCTAGACTGAAAGAGAAATATTCCTTTTTCTGAATTTATGTTCGAGGATTTTTTTCTCCTAGCTCCTAAGCCAGGTTTGCTTCTGTCACTAGGATGGCCTGAGAACACCATGAGAACACTCTCTTCCTTAATCTTGTGCAATTTGGAGGTAAAAGGACAGAAGAAGGCAGGTGGTAGGAGATAGTCCCCTTCATTAAAAATTATCTGTGTCATTAGTCTTGTTATTAATCACTATGAAATTCTGGGACTTTGCAATTTTTAAATTGCATGTGTTTCAGACTTGTTACCTCATTGTGACCTTTAAAAAAAATCCATAACCTTGCATCAACTCAGTTATTGTACCTTGTTTTTTCTCTGATCCTTTCTTGCTCTCTTAGAACCAAGTTTTTACTTGACCAGTCCATGACATTTTACTTCCAAGGTTTTAAGGGCCTGACAACAATTTCTAGATTCTGG